TCGACATATTCTGATGACACAACACCAGATCGACCGAAGCATGGCGTTCCGAATTATCTACAAGTCACGAATCGCAAGATTGCTATGGTTTGGAGAAGCGATTGCTATCAGCCGATGGAAGCCCCCCTTGTGTCAACAAATAGAACTTTATGTTAGTTTATCCTTACCCTGGTGATGGTCTTTTTACCCCTCCCCCTTTTATGTTTTTTCCTGCTTCATTGTATTTGACTCATCTTTGTTGCCATGCGAAATCCCTATATAAGTATTGTATTTTCTGCAGTATGCACCATATTGAGATGCAGCGAAATCGTCCTGGACATAAATCGTGCAGTATTGCAATTTGGTCTTTTCTTTTCAAATTGATCTCGGGAAAGGTTTGCTTCAATTAAGTAGTAGTTGTATTTCCAGTATGTAAATGCAAACGTAGCCGGTCCGTAAGCCGGTGAGCAATCAGTGCATCAACACGCAGGCAGGCAGGCACAAACTAGTGCAACCGTTACCAAAAGGAGTAGGTCATCACATTGGGCAGTCAACGAACCAACCAATGCGGACAGGTCAATGCTGACCTTTGATTCGCTGAGGCGGATCGACCTTGTAGCAGAGGGAGTCCGCATGAGGTGCGTCCGTGTGTGTGGGGGCAGGCTGCAACGGTCGGTCGCGTGATGTGCGGTAAACGTTTCACTCGACAGCAGGCCACATCACCTCTCCTTTTCGGAAGAAATCTGTAACACGCCTGGGTCAATTCATGGTAAACGGAATCTCCCCATATCACCTGATGTCGCGACAGCACATTCGCCTTTGTGTAATGAGTTCAGACCAGGTGTGCAGGCCTCGGGAGGTCATCTGGCAGTCATTTGTGGACTGACACGTTTCTGAAGCCGAATTTGTATTTAAACATAGCGGTTTGAAGATTATATTTTTTTCCGTTTGTTGTTTTGCACCTGGCGAGTACGGACATATGGAACTGAACTGCTATGATGAGGAAAGAATTAGGAAGGATCAGATCCTCCCCTGGAAAAGGAACTACGCGAAATGTTTGAATCGCGTTCTTGGATGTGCGCTGGATAATAGTAATCTTTCGTAAGGTATTTTGCTGAAAGGCCACAACGTCTGGCTTGTATGGAGGAAATGATGTTATTTTTGTCGGTTCTGTCCTTTCCATCGGATCGAAGAGAAATCTCATTGAAGCAATCAGGTTGAAACCTGCGTGTAGGTCCAACAGTACTTGTACTGCATTTAGACGGCTTCAATGAAGGCCGAACAGTACAAACAGAGTGCAAGCGACACACACGAGTAAAGTGGCCCAATTTGTTGCAGAAAAAACACATTGATGATAATGCTGGATAGTTTGTATAATTCGCTCTGTTTTTTACTTCCACAGCGGAAACATGTACGATTATTTGTAGTATTCCGGTCACGGTGGCACGCGTTTATCTGGGATACAGTAGTATGAGAGTCAGAACGGAAAATTTCCGGTTACCGTTTCAAATCCCATTTAGATCTTGCAGTTTCACGTACATGATCCCAAATCATTTGGGCGGAGTCCATTGTTATCAATTCCTCACGTATGTTATGATTGTTCATTCCAGAAACTAATTGTTGTATTAGAAATGTTTCGTGTAGTATTCTTGTCACGGTGCGCATCACTTCCCTGTGATTACGGTTCCGTGCCAACGGACAAAAGCGAAAAGTCGAGGAATTTCAGGCGCTTATTTTGAACTGAAATCATAGGAAAATTCATAATTATTTATGCAGCCAAAGTTTCCCCTCTGAGGGTTCAGCCAATGTGAAATGAGAACATATAAACCTCAGAATGATATCAAAGGAGAAGCTCTGGCAGTCGGTTGCCTGAAGTAGTACATTTGTAGTTCAACTTTAGGCGAAGCTATCGAAGTAAATAGAAATTATAAATTTCAGGTGTAAATAATATTACACGTCAAATGCTACGAGAAATAATTTATAACAAGCAGTAATGGATCACTAAAAGGAGGAAATTTGGAATGTATTGACGGAAGTGGGACAGAGCACACCAGATGGATGAAATCGCCATAGGTAGTTGAAAGAACAAAGCAGTCAAGGTAAACGAGAGGTGGTCCCTTACGAATAAGAATATATCTAGCGGACAATACGTGTTTTTAATGCACAATTGACTGTGATTCTAGTTGGAACCGAAATGAAATTTGGTCGCTGAGGAACTGCAAAATTGTCTCATCTTATTTATTTATGTATTCACTCAACCATATTTGTAATTGCTTGACAAATTCCCAACAATACCTTGGGTTTTCACCTAGGTGATACAATAATGATGTGATGGGGTGTGGTTTGATATACTAACCTACTGGACTGTATGTGCTGCAAATGGTTAAACAATTGGGACATTCATTTTTACAATAATAATAAATTGTGAAACCATGTTATTTAGCATTGACTTCCAATATTACTAGCACGATTACGAATAAATGAACTCGAACCTCGTTCTGTGAGGCTTTTTAAACATTCGTCAGTGGGAATGATCAGGTGAAAGAAATCAAGCATTACTGGATGAAGTACTCACCCCCGTGCTGCGCTAGATAGGATCCCCAGTGTGCCGGCATTGGGTTCGAGGTGTCCGGAGCGATTCGCGAATTGTTTTTCGCAAGCAGCCGATTCCCGGTTAACAGGACAGCCAGCCCGGTGAGACATATGAGGAACAGGATAGATCCAATCACTGCACTAATCCAAGGCCAACTGAACTTCGTGCTTTGCGGTTCGGAGGCCAGTTCGTGCATGCTGATTTGGTCCTTATAGGTAGGTAGGAGTGGACTGTAGTTTGATTGCACTGAAGTAAACAAAGATAGCAAATATAAACGATAGGTTTACGTGCCAATTTGTCACGATGAGGGCTTGCGGTGGGTGGATTCACAGTTTTGTGCTTCTTTATAAAATACCATTCAGTCAATGGATTGTATTAATTAAGCCGAAGCTGTTGTAGGTGAATCGGAAATAGGAAGTGAATTCACTTGGACCATACTGTTTCGACTTGTTCAGCCCTGAAGTCATCCTTTTTGTGTT